GCTATAACATATGTCTATTTTATATATTCTGTGTCTATGCTGAGCTATAACCTGGGTCTATGCTGGGCTATAACCTGTGTCTATGCTGGGCTATAACCTGTGTCTATGCTGAGCTATAACCTATGTCTTTTTATCTAATCTGTGACTATGCTGAGCTAGAACCTGTGTCTATGCTGAGTTATATCCTGTGTATATGCTGAGCTATATCCTGTGTCTATGCTGAGCTGGCGTGCGTTGTACGTGTTCACGTGCGGGAGGTTCCACCAGCATGTTCCTGTTGCAAGTTCAGGCCTGCATTTATCTGCGATGCGAGGACGTGAGGATAGGGTCGATTGATTCTCAAACCTGGCTGTTGTGTGGTTGTAATATCTGTTGCCATCCAATCAGAGTCTTGCTATTGGGCACTGGCAGTTTCTCGCTCTCATCTGCCGTGTCCCTGTTTCTGCAATGGATCGGCAGCACTGCTCGTCTGCCAATGCCCCTCTGTCGTTCAGTCCCCTACCATTGCGTACCTGTGCATCTTTGCTGGAATGAATCATATAGGTGCAATCGCTGATACGTTTTGTGCCTTGACTGTCGATCCATTGCCATATCTCATGACTTTAAGTTTCTTCCCATGTGTTCACCTAGTTTGTTTTGATGTTTGGCTTCTCCGCAGTTGTACCCACGGGCGTGGTCGACATACGATCTACCTGAACACAAAATCAAACTTGTATGTCGGCAAATCTCGCCGGTAATCCCACACGACTACGAGGTATGTTAGCACAGCCGGAGTTTATTTTGGTACCTGTTTAGTTTATTTTGGTACCGATTTAGTTTATTTTGGTACCGGTTTAGTTTATTTTGGCACCTGTTTAATTTATTTTGGTACCTGCTTAGTTTATTTGGTACCGGTACCGGTTTAGTTCATTTTAGCATTTGCTTAGTTTATTTTGATACCTATTTAGTTTATTTTGGTACCTGTGCTGAATGGGTGGTCTGCGTATTCGCATGGTCGTGTACTGTATAGTACAACTACGTGTTATGCAGTGCCCTGTCGTGCTATTGTGCCCATTGGATACGTAGTAAGATTTCACGGTCATATGTTACTCACAGTGACAGTGCGGTACTTAACGTGAGGCGTCGCAGCGGTGCGTAGTGCTCTGTCGTGCTATTGTGCCCATTTGCTACGTAATAAGATGTTGTGTTACCCACAGAAAGTGCGGTACATAATGTGTGGTGTCGTAGCGGTATGTGGTGCACAGTGTCATGGGGACGTCCTCCTTGGCACGCCTCTGCAGCTGTCTGCTGTCTGTACAATTGCATTTTACAATGCCGTGGCATGATGCCACGGCAGTGTTAGTGTTTTAATAAAATCGTCTGGTACACACATACGTACGCGGCCAGATTCAGCGAGTGTCTGTTGACTGATATGCTATATCTGGCTTTAGTGTGGTAGGATATTGCAGATTATCTTGTCTCATGTACTGCGTGTCGGGTCTGCGCCATGCGCTGTGGGGGTCTTCTTTGTGAGTGCGTTTGCCCTGCACGCCACTATTGTTTCACTGAGAAACCAAGCTGCTTTGGGCAGAGACGGCTACTGTGGTTATAATTATTGGGTTAGCGAGCGCGAGTATTTGACCTTTCCGACTGTAACGTTCATTCTATCGACCCAAAAGTCCACTCGTGCTAACACTAGTAACAGACCGAGAAAAGGGTTGGGATTAGCTAGATGCTCACACATGGATTATCAAGCCATTCCACGTCATCTACAAGATACACACCGACACGGTATATACCACAACGACACCATATCATAATTTTTCACACCGTCACATATAGTTATCTCAGGCATCATCTGTTAGTATCACATCTTTTCGTTCTTATCCTTGCATCCCCAGGCAAGCTCGCTGCCTGCGTGTGTGTTTGAGTGGTCGGTGGAAAACTACGGCGACACCACTGCGGAGGTAGCCATTTGTATGACATGGGTTAACGGCTACGGCGCAAAGGACGACAAAGCCGGTGGTCACCAGAACTATGTCTTCAGGTGTGATTCATGGCTATGTTTATTTATGTCTGGCACCAAAAAGACCCCCCAAAACCCCCCGTATTCACGAGCATTTCTTGCTTCAGTGCCTGTTTGGTTTTACTGTATGCTTGTTGCATTGTCAGTATCGCCGCTTTGACACCTTCAAAACCGATCCCACTGTTTGTAGAGCATTGCAAAATGTCACTCATTCCTCGGCGATTGGTCATACCGTTCCCATTGCGTACGTTGGGTGCAGATGCTAAGCTAAAGTCATATGCTAATGAACGTTTATAAACACATCAAATAAAGTCATATGCCAATGAACGTTTATAAACACATCTAATAAAGTCATATGCCATTTTACATTTGTAAACACATCTAATAAAGTCATATGCCAATGAACATTTATAAACACATCCAATATTGTCATATGCCAATGAACGTTTATAAACACATTTATTCTCATGTATTGCAGCTCTAATCAGCAAAATGGAAATGGAACAGCGTTCGGCATTGAGATGAAACACAAAACGTAAGTGTCACAATTACCAGCCCACAGGGTTGTGCTTGTCAACACTGCTTGTACTATCAAACCGCTTCAACGTAACGTGTTGTTTGCTACCAGCGTATTGAAGTATAGTCGTTAACGCCTTCAGCTCCTTTGACATTCGCGTGGTATCTGTATATTAGTCGGGCATAGAGCAAACAGGCGTGTCCGCCGGAGTGCTATATGGAGTGCTGCTTGTGCTATCGCCCCTTGGAAAGCCCCCTCGAGCTCACTGCTGTAATCCGAGTCCACACTTGTTAATTGTATGCATTGGCGTGACGCAAGCACCACATCAACTACAGAATATCGTCTTGCGCACGCAGAACGGGGTTAGCTGTTGCTATTAAGCTAATCAAACGTATTCACTCGTTTGTTTCGCTGACACAGGGATGGGGGATCGCCTTATTCCTTTGGCATTTCGGCCTTGCAGCCAGATGATAGCGGGTATGTGACTGGTTGGTACGTCTTGACAGCTGCATCAATACGTTCGGAACGTAGTGTATTTTTTTTTGGGACAGTATTTTATATCCAGAGGGGTAGAGCGTAGCAAAGCTAGACGTTTGTTTGAATTGAAGTGTGATTTCTTAATCGAGAAATCAAAGCTTTGCATTCACTTATGTACCTATCTTGTAATAACACTGTTTAGAATATACCTACAATATACCGTTGCGCTATTTATATATATATATATATATATATATATATACTTACCCCCCC